CTCCTAGGTCCTCTGCAATACAAATAAATTCCAGCCATATTGCCACCTTCTTGGGTTACAAGAAAATGTTTTTGGTTTTTAAAAGGAAATCAGTGGATAGACACTCCAGTCTCTCCTTCCCTGTCTGCAAACAAACGGGGTTTGTCACAGGTTATAGAGGAAAGTTTTATGGAAGTCCACACTGAAATATTGATAGCTCTTTGCTTGTTGTTGCTTATTTCTAGGGACTATTTTCTGGTTAACTCTTCCAGAATGAGGGACGAGGAAGGAAAGGACCATTTAACCACACAAAAATGCTGCCACTGTCAGATTTTTTGGCAGGCAACGAGGAGCTGAAAAAGGTTTTAGTTTTGATACCTCTTCCAAAAATGAAATGAACAAAACAGTGGTAACAATAGGTTATTGTTCACTCTGAAGATTCTGGGACTAGTTCCATGTGTGAGGCAACCAGAGTGGTCAGCCAAAATCCCCAGATAGTCAGTCATTTTTCTAGCTGAGGGGTCTCCAGGCAAACATTGCTGCCAGAAGGCTCAAGGCTGAGCTGGTATTTCATGCAGATTGGTACGAGGAAGAAGAACTAGATTCCTCAAAATATACAACCATATAACTGAGATTAGACTTGTGCCTAATCAACACGGTTTTTCAATGTTGTGGTCTTTGGGCCAGATTCTGATCTCAGTCACACCAGTGTACATCTTAAATAACACTACTGACTTATTTTCTAGTCATAGAATCATAGGATTGGAAGAGACCTCAGGAGGTTATCCTCATTCACACTAACAAGATTAGAATCTGGCCTTCTTATTGTAAATGCTTTCAGGCAAGACTCAAATCTTATTATATTTTATAAAGACCCATGTACACTTGTGGAATATTGTGATTGGCAATATTCTTTTCCTAAGTTTTCATATTACTGATGTTATGACACTCTCAAGTGAGTGATGATATAATGGTTTATGCAATGCCAAAGCAGGAGAGGCTGCGAAGGGAGAGATTCTTCATAATCTAAATGGTTATATTTTGAGGCTTTTAGATGGAGGGTCAGAGCTATAGGAACTGGGAATTGTCCAATGGAAATCTTCAACATTTAACACAGTGAAAGCAGATAAGCTGAAGAGAAGACCAGGCCTTGACAGTCACTGAGGTAGTATGAGAGAGAGTGTAAACTGAGCTTGCATTCTGAAACTTCAGTTGGAAGGTAACAACACAGAGGCAAGCATTTCAGTTGTGTGTGTATTTAAGCTGTTGCAACCAGGTTAGAACTCTTTCCTCTCTTTTCCCGACCACATTCCCTTCAACCTCCATTAAACTCAGAGGAAAAAACCCAGGGGTCTCAGAGCCAGTGCCTTCCTCTTTGATTAGTCCAAACAGTGAAAGATCAGCAGATCGTTCCCTAAGCCCCTGGTGCTAGTTCTGCATATTAGATGAGTTAACAGAGAGCTAAATGAATGCTATGGTGATCGACTTCCCTCTGGTGGTGTCTGTATGATACTGCATGAAGTTTAGTATAATAAACCAATGACCAGCTATGGTGCATCAAGATGGTAAAGAAGACAGAAGGCACCAGTGTCAAGTGGACTCAAGTGTGAGATTCACCTCCTATAGAAATGGTAGACAGCAAAGCCCTGTTTTTGCTAAATTTGCACAAACACTAGCTGTGATTGCTCTCCTACCCAAGACTTTCCAATTGTGTCAAAAGACCAATTTTCAAGGGGGAAATCCGACACATTTTTGCTCTCATTTCAAGGTGGATGAAGGCTGCTGTATGAGTTACTGGCTTCAGTTGCAACATGTTCACCTTGACACAAAATCCAAGCCAGTTGCTCTTGGAAGGGAAGCACAGAGGGCAGGAGGGAAGGGCAGTCCTTCCTTTGTAACAGTCTCACTTTATGAAGCAGATACAAGCCTTTCTGTTAAGGCTGGGCCTTGTGGCTACTGGGAATAGGTGGAGACTAAGGGAATCCATTGCATCCAAGATCTTGGTTAAAGTTTGTAACAAGGGGACTAGAGATAAAGCCAGCATTTGAGCCCATCAGGAAAGGTCCAATAGCTAGGGTGCTACTGTAGGACGCAGCAGACCTAGGATGTGCTAGAGATTTCCTGTGTGAACTTGGGGTAATCTGTCTGTCTGTCCTACAGTTCCTCGTGCATAACAGGGATGGTCGTTCTGATCCATCTCACAGGGCTGCTGTGGGTCTCCCATACAAGGGTAAGAGGGCCATAGAAGTATGCCAGCTAGAAAAGGTGGTTGTAGCTATTTCCAGAGCACCACAAAGCAGCCAAAAAGCAGCAATTCCTGTGAGACAAAGCGAAAGTCAGGATGATTAGCTTCTTGGTCCCTGCTTCCTCAAACAACCCAGTACAGAGGGTGCACAATCCTGAGATACATTCAGTCTGCAAGCAGCTCCAGGATCACAGAAACACCCCAAATGCTCTGTTCCAACCAGCACAGTATTTTTAGTCCCAGTTTACAGATAAGGAAAGTGAGGGAAAAGCAAGTACTGTACCTTGAAAGTTGGTTGCAGAGCCAAAAATGTAAGCCGGCGTGCCCTGACTCCTAGAGATGTTCTTTAGCCACTATACAAGGTTTCCTCTCTGCTTTCCAGGATGATGTAGGTGGGGAAAGAACAATTAAAGGAAGAGAGATCTCTTCTCACAAGGGGGGCATTTTAAATGGAAGTAATTATGCACTGTGTAACAGGAAAAAAGGGAATTGTAAACTGAACGTAATCCTCTAACTTTTAACTGGAGAATGACTCAAGTAAATGCTAATATGTATTTTGTTGATGAAAGAGAGAAGTATTTGAGCTTACGCAGAAGCTCTTCTTCAGGTCCCCAGATCTGTGTAAACTCCAAAGCACGTCTCTTTCACCAATAGAAGCTGGTCCAATAAAAATATATTACCTTACCTTGTTTCTCTCACAGCTCAGAACCAACATGGCTACAACACCGTGAACAATATGTTTTTTGACAGGGCTTTAAGGAAATACCTTTTGGAACGGTCACCTGTAGAGGAAACATGACAACTGAAATCTGACAGGTTCTAGGCTGCAAAGACACATTTCACCCAAAGAGAGTGTTGCTGTTAGAGAAACACAATTTTAGCGCTCAGCTCTTTATCAGAAGTCATTTAGATGGAACATAGGGAATCACATATTTCTTTAACTGGAGCTGAAGAAAGTAAAATGATCTTGAAGGAACTTTGTGCAATCTTTATCACTGGCATTGAACATGTCCTCCTCCATTGTTGGAAACACACAACCACTTCTTCTGTTTTCTTTTCTGAAGTGATTGCCTGGGTTAGTTAGAGAACACCTTTGTTCCTCTTCCTGTCTCAGCTCCAGTTCTGAAAAGAGTTTGGAATTGCTTGTCTGACAGAAACCTTTCCCTCAGCAATTGCCCTTGCAGTGCCCAGAGGCTGGGCACCGAGGAGGGCAGAGAACAAGATGACAAAAGCAATTTAATCTTTGACCATCACTTCCAGGTTTCATCTGAGAACTAAAGTATGAGAGGCAGTGGGGAGATAATGAAATCTGATAGGAAAGGCCATTGACAACTTTCTTGATGAGGGCTGAAGTGAGCAAGTACAACACAATCCTAAATAACCAATACCCGCATAATTCAAATGTACTCACTTGTTCCCCAGGGTTATAGACTCCTCTCCTGTAAGAGAGTCTCCAAAATCAGAGGGCAGTGAAGAGCTCCCTGGCAGCTGCTGCAGCAGCCTGGTGGAGGCTGATGTTTGATGATTTCCTGAAGACTCGCAACAACAAGCAAGCCACATTCTGCATTTCCACCTTCTAGAGCTCCTGGCCAGCTTGCCCAAAGCAGACAGACACAAAGAGGGACAGAGGTGATAAACGTGCAGGTTCCCGGAGCCCTGTGATGAATATGTAGTCACATCGCTTAATGCACTATTAGAAGGGGCTCAGATCTTATGGCAATGAGGGTGATCTAAAAATCTTTATAGAACAGAAGAATAAAAATGGATGCTGGCATAACTGCACATCTTCCAACTTTAAAGGAGATGGCCTCCAACCAACAGGCCAGCTCCCTTGAATTTTGGAAGGATTCAGCTGTCTTCCATGACTTTTGGAAAAAATGTTCTGTCTTGGCAAATCTCACCAAAAAAGACCTTCCTAATAAGATGTCCAGCAAATGAGGTTTGCATAAGCATATCCTTTGGAGACTCAGCTAAACTTCTGGTTGTTTTGCTATTTGCTACTGTGATTAGTAAGGGAGGGGTTAATCACTTGGTCAGTCTGTTTTTACTATTTTAATTACCTTTTGGTGAATATAGATGCTGTGAAAGGCACTGGACTGACAGCTCTAGAGAAAAATGTCCCCTCTTTATTCATAGAGCAGGAATAACAAACACAGTGGTGTTGCGTTTGTGTGTGTGTGAAACCATGCCACAATGTACCTTTATCATTACCTGCAAGGACCAGGCGTAGGGGCGAAAGAGGAGTTCAGTCTGCCAAGCACAGACATCTCTTCTGAGACTGTCAACAAGTTTGCTAAATAGTGCCAACAGAACTAACCAGACCATCCTACTGATTTCATGCAGGTTGCCGAACAACCAGACCTGGTTTACCACTGACATGGACTTAGGCTTTGTCTATACCTGTAAGGTCGAATTAAGATACGCTACTCCAGCTACATTAATTGCTTAACTGAAGTTGACATACCTTAATTCGACCTTTGGTGCAATTTCCACAGTGGAAGAATGACCAGAGCAAACACTCCCGTCAACTTCCCTTACTCCTCACAAATTGAGGAGTACCAGTGTCAATGGAGGCACTCTCAGCATTTGATTTAGTGGGTCTTTACTAGACCCATTACATTGAACTCCGGAAGATCAACTACCACAGGGTTGATCTTCCCGGTAGTGAAGATATGGCCTGAGACACAAATTTCTCTATATCCACTTTCTGATTTCCCAAGCCATGTAGTCCCCTAGATTGCAGTAATACAGACAGTAGAAATGTGTCCACACTTACCAATCTGTGTGAGCATCATCAATCACCAAAAGGATCTTGGGTTTCTGAGCAACAGGAGCAGGGCTTGCTGAGTGCTCCATCAGTCCTGCAGCTGCTTGTGTAGTCTGCTTCATGGCACTGGAGATGGAACTGAAAATACTGGTTCCAGAAGAGGAAGAGGGTGATGGCTGAGATGGCTGCTGCTGCTGCTTCCTCTCAGTTGCTGGTGAACCTGGAGAACTAGTGGAATTATCAGGACGCTGCAGATCCATCATATAGCCATTGGGCAGGTTGGCCACAAAACTGCTGTCTGAGAGGCGCCTTCGAAGGAAATTCATTGCTGAAACTCAGGATGGAGAGCTTCTTCACAATGGGAACGAGACTAAATAACTGTTCCACCGTCCAGAGGGGCTTTTGGAGTCACTATAGCTTAATCCAGAGAGAGATGTTGCCACCCTTGAAACAGCGTTTGAGAAAAAGTAGAACTGATAATCAGAAGTGTATTTTCTATTTTTTCCTTCCTGTGGGAGAACAAGAGACACCTGTATGAGATGTAGATAAATTGTTTCATATTGGAACAAATCACAGAGCCTTTAAAGAACATTCTAAGGCCTAATGCATAGTCAGCACTTGCATAAATGGAGAAGGGTCATTACTTTATATGGAAGGTGTCCTACATCAATTTGCAAGTAAGGCAAATTGGCCAAGTGGACAGAGGTAAGTGGGCTTCATGGCCTTTTCCTGTCCCCTTAATGTTACTGAATTGCACACACTTCCTCCAGTCACAACAGACAGATTAAACTAGCTGCAGCTCTGCAAATTTGCACATATCCACTTTATATCTGAGAACTGGCTGCAGATACAAATGTTGTGTCTGTACAGGGCTCTAAAAATAGCTACGCATGTATTGATTTAGTGTCCCAGTTAGTTAGTGTTTCAGAGAAAGTTGGAAAACAAAAGTCCCATAATATATTAGGCTATTTCTATAACACTGTTTACCATGGAGAAGAAAAATTCTTCTCCCATTAGTAATTTGAGTCTATTCTGAGGTAAGAGACATGAAACAAATATTGGATACTTTAGAATTTTAAAAATCCACGGTTTTAGCACATCACTGAACAGCCAGCAAAAGAATTGGGTGAAAATTTTTTTTTTGCAGCTGGTTTGCTAACAGGACTGAATTTTGAGAAGCAACCATTCTAAACACAACCAGTTAGGGGGGAAAAACCTGGAGCAAGGTTTGAAAAACCTTGATACTCCAGGACCTGAAAAACCTGTGATACTCCAGGACCAATTTTTATAACAAGATTCAATCTCTCCTGGGATCTGTACGTGCAATTTTGTGCGTCCCTCAAATCCAGTAGTTACTAAAGAAATCACACTATCTGATTTGCTAATTCACACACTTGGAAGCACAATTTTTAAAAGGCCAAACTGAGGCTGCTTTGCAAACTTGGTTCTTTAGATTTAAATGCTTCTTTTAGAAATAAAGTCTATTACTATGCTGGTCTTCTCCAATCAGGAAACAAACAAGAAGAAATTTAAACACCTGATTTTTCCTGAGCCACTGAATTGTCTTATCATTTATGGAAAATTCAAAGTAATGCCATAAGATTTTGTGGAGACTCTTCACTATTTCTCTACTGTAGACACTGGGGCCAGGGAACAGGATTTTCATAGGGACTCTGAAAGGCCCCCTTCACTGCTAAGACAACAATACACCTTTGGGTTTTGTCTAGGCATAGTAGGGAATGAGCAGAAAAGCAAAAATGATACAATAGCAACATAATAGTAGTCAATCATCTTTACAACTTTGATACCAGTAACAGGTAATGCAATGGTATTTATTACATCAGATGTCTCTAGCAGAGAAAGTAATGGCTGCTTCTTGAATCAATGGGGCCATTCCTAGTACAGTATCATAGGGTATGTCTAGACTACATGCCTCTGTCGCCAGAGGCATGTAGATTAGGCTACCAGACATAGGAAAATGAAGCGGCGATTTAAATAATCGCCGCTTCATTTAAATTTACATGGCTGCCGCGCTGAGCCAACAAACAGCTGATCAGCTGTTTGTCGGCTCAGCACGATAGTCTGGACACGCGGGTGGCGACATCAAAAGTATTTGTCGACCACCCAGGTAAACCTCATCCCATTATTTAAATCGCCGCTTCATTTTCCTATGTCTGGTAGCCTAATCTACATGCCTCTGGTGACAGAGGCATGTAGTCTAGACGTACCCATAGTTACAGCAGGTATAGCAGCATCTTTGACTCTTCTGAAGTCTCTCTGTACTCCCCCCTCTGCTCTTAAGCCTCAAGCCTTTATTTCCCTGGAATCCTGCAAATCTCCAACTCTTAGACCAGGATTCAGGCTACCATCACCCCCACATCCTCCTCCTGCCTCTAACATACCAACTGTGATTTCCCTACTGGTCCAACTGGGTTTGGCACCTGCAAATCGTCCCTTTGACAGATATAATCAGTGGCCTGACAACATTCTTAAAAGTAAGTATTGTTTAAGCTTATTAGTAGGAACACAGCATACATACAAGGAAAGGATTTTAAAACAGAACAATCTGTACACACCCATCTTACTAAGGAAAGTTAATAAAGGCCCATCTACTTCAGACCCCCTTTGTAGGACCTGTGTCAGTAAAAAGCTTCTTCCTCTTGAACAGCTTCTGAAAACTGCCTCTCCCTTTCTCTTGAGGATGATTTTTAGCCAGTTAGTGGCCTTTTAATAAACTGGTTCCCAGTGTTGACAAAATAAGGAGTATATCTTTACTGACGAATGGAAGGAATTGCCAGAAGAAGTATTACTACTTAATGGCCCTTGCCTTGTTCATACATATCTAGAAACATTGTCTTGCCTTCCTGCTTATTTCCTAACTGCCCTGCTACAGAACTCAATCAACATATGCATACAATAAACGCTCCAGGAACAATGTATTTACATACTCACCCACCACAATCAGGTCATATATAGCATGCTTAAATACTGCAGATCAGCCCCACAACCTTCACATCTACTAAAATGAAACCATCCCAGCCCTACTGCTCAGACTTAACCTTCTGACTGCCACGGTCCTACCACAAGAGTAACAACAAATCGGTGTGTTAACAAAAATGTTACCCCATGAGGTAAACAGAGTGGCAGAACAATAAGAGGAGGATTTCTTGATGATTATGGGTAACATAATAGAAGGGCATTGCTCAGGCCTCTCCTGGGGGAGGGGGAGGTGTCATTTCTCTGCATAATAAAAGAGAAATAGAAATTAATACATAACTACTCTACGTGCTACATTCGACCCACATTCTAGTATGAGGGACATTTAAGCAGAATTGCTGTCTGCAGGCTACCACGGTCCATGTTTAGTGTTGGTTGTGGTGGTATAGAGTTCACATATTGACAGAGTCCAATTACAACATATGGAAAACTCCATAATTTGGTAAGCTTTCTTTGAATATGGTGAGACAATGGAGGAGCAGCACAAATCTAACTTCAATATCAACAGTGTCACGCAGAGTAGTATATTATTTTATATCTTTAGCGCAGCTTTTTGGGAAGTTGTCCCCTGTTCCACTGTTAAAGCATTCATTTCCTGCCATTACTGTTATCAGACATTAGGGGGAGCTTGTGGCCATCAATAATAATCATGATGGGCACATTTTTTGAAAGCACTCAAGTGACTTAGGCAGTGGTGGGCTACCTGCAGCACGGGGGATGCACGTGGGCAATCAGGGCTCTATGTGTAGCCCCCAAGACATTTTGTTTACCGTTGCCCACGTGCAAGGTTGCCAGATCCTGCTGGTTTTTGTCCATGTAGTTTTTTTCCTACTGGTAGTACTACAATGACACGCACTTAAAACAATGGTATGTGAAGTGAAGTGCATGCTGATTGCATACAACACTGACAGAGAGCCATGTGCTGCATCTGCATCCAAAGTGCTGCTCTGGTTCAATTAGTACACCCTGGAAATTCTAGGTATGCAATTCTAGGGAGACTGTCTTGGTTATGACAATCTTGCGGACCACTAAGGTGAAGGAGGACCACTCATGTGACCCACTCACTAGCCTAGGTTGCCCGTCACTAGACTTAGGGCATATCTACACTACCAGGCAGATCAAGAAGCAGCAATTAATCCAATGGGGGTCAATTTATCATGTGTCTATGCAATAAATTAACTGCTGACTGCTCTCCCATCAATTCCAGTACTCCCCCAGAATGAGAAGCAAAATAGGAGTTGAAGGGAGAGCATTTATTGTTGACCTGTCACGGTAAGCTGCTGTGGTAAGTAGATCTAAGTACACAGAATCCCGCTACACTGTTCCTGTAGCTGAAGTTGCGTATCTTAGATTGATTTCCCCCTGTTGTGTAGACCAGGCCTTAGGAATCAAAGCCCCATGAGCCTTCCAGCTCCATGTGTGAAAATTTTACCTATTATGTAGTGCTTGTAGAGTTCTTATCTCCTCTACAAGCCTTGCATCTTCTAAGCACAGGACAAAATAATATTAACTAAGAAGTATGGCTCAAACAACCAAAAACAATAAAACAGTGAAAGTTTAAAAAAATAAATGAAATTACCCTACACTACAAAACATTTGTGTTATCCAGCAATGGAGATGCAGTGGTGCATACTGGCACTGAAGAGCAAGGAAAAACTAAATTCTATTCCTATTTTGCACTCCCACATTGAAGACATAGATTGGATTTCAAAGCTAATTTCTTGCTCCATAGACAGGCATGGGCTGGGGGCTCTGTGGAGACAGTGCTCTGGGCCTGGAGGAAGAACAAGTAACTTGTACTGCTGATCAACCCCCCCCAAAACAACAGTGTCGATAAATTCCAGGTGAAAAAATCCCACTGTGGCAAGACAACTATTCATCAAAGCTCTAGAAATTCAGGAAGGATTTGACTTCCAAGTCCATCTGTATAAGTGTGTGTGTGGGGGGGGGGGGGGGGGGAAAAACAAGAGCTGTGTTTATTTCTTTATAAAACCATTAGGAAAAGAGTGTACCTTGAAGTTATATTTTCGTCAGTCTGAGGTTAATGTAATTAACAAAGTAATTGAAATCCGTTTTTCTAAAGTAAGGTAATTATAGCCGTGCCATGCCAGTATATTGATTACCATTAGCCTAGCTACAGAGATCTAAGATGAAAGAAAGATCAGTAATGGCATACATAAGTAAACGGCCAACAAGCACCCTGCTTACCGGAAAACATCAAAAACTGTTTACTTCTGCATTACACCCACACTGTATGTACTTTCTTTTGTTCTTCAGCCCTACAAACACATACATCAAAACACAAGCTTCATTTTCACTAGGCTACCATGTCCTGCAGCTCCTACCCATAACTTCAGCTGAAGTCAAAATGCAACATCCATGAAGAATTCACATGCCCCATTTGGTCTTTGTGTAACTCCACTCATTGCATTCAGGAAATAAACAGTCAGGCTCCACCGCACAATTGTCAAGCAATTTATTTGTCATGTTATATAAATTATGCAGTGAGATTATTTGCAAATAATTTGCATAC